ATATTTTAACTTCACAACAATGAAGTTGAAATTTCATTGAGGAATTCTAAAGAAAGAGGACTATTCTGTCGCATTGTTTAGGTAACAAAAACAAGGTCACAGGCTAAATGGGCTTTATAAGATCACAACTGGTGGGAAGGGGCTGGATTCTGTTCCCAGCACCAGTACTCATTGATTTCTGTCATACTGAAGTCTGCTTTCTATATATTTTGAGAGCTAATTTCTTTTCTAGGAACTGAGAACATCTAAGATGATTTATCTCTATATTTTGTGAGACAGTGATATAAATTTTCCCATAATACAGTTCTATAAAACCATTTCCAATGCTAACACATGTAAGACAAGTAAAACCTCCAAATAAAGTAGAAAGGTAAACGCATTTTCACTTTGCCTTCAGGATAAAGGAATTAAAATAATTTGTGCTCATTCCATAAATGAGTGATGGAAAAGTTTCTTAGTTTCATGATTCTTAGTATAAATCTGAGACAACTCTGAGATGGTTCACTAACAAGTCAAAAGCTGCATTTGATTTAGGTGTCTGCTACAACCCAGTTAGTTTCTTTTATCAAAACTCAAAACTGAGCCTTATACATTTTCAATATGCAAATCTGGAACTGGGTTTTCTCTTTCTTCCTTCAGCTAATATTTTGATGCCTTAAAAATACTTAGCAAAAAGAAGGTTTTAAAAATTTATCTTTGAGGAGCCTTGGCTTTTACTTTTGCTTAAGAGACACTTCATTTTCTTCCTAGAGTTTTATCATTTGTTTTCTGTGGGAAAGTCGTGTCACCCATATTGATAATCAAAGGTAAAATGTCCTAGTAGCAATTATTGTCTGTATTCCACCAGAACCTCCATAATCCCAAGATTTACACAAGTAAGTAGGAGTACCTAGCCAGTGTATTCTCCCAATTATAAAACAAAACAAAATGTAAGGAGTTAACCTTTCAGAATACGATGGAAGAGTTCTAGTCAATCCAATAGAGGCAGCTGATTGGTGGCCCACTCCTCTGTGGCCAAATAGGATCGTTGCTGTTTAGTTTCCTTGAGAGGTAGGGAGAGTAGGAACATAAGGGCACTATCTTTTAAGTGAGTGTTGAAATGGAGCCATTGGCTTTTGTTGACATGAAATCAATATTAGACACACATTTTAATTATGCCTACTTTTTCCCAAGCAGCCAGAAAAACTCACGATGAAGTTTAAGAACAATTATTCCTAAAATTTATGTGGGATTTATGATATCTGGCACTATTCAGAATGCTTTAAGTATATTAACTCATTTTGTGAGTTAGAAAAATTATTATTCCCATTTTAAAAAGGAGAAGACTGAGGAAGTTAAAGTTTGTAAAACTTACCTGACGTCACCTATCTAGTAAGCGGCAGAGCTGAAATTTGAACCCAGGTAATCTGTTCTTCCCATGGTTAGCAAGAGAACAGAGGTAAAAAAAAATTTTTTTAGTTGTTTTGGCCAAAACCAATTTGTTATTTTTCCTTCATACCTAACAATCTTACTGTTACAGAAACCACCAAATATGCTGAATGTGAAAGGTGGTCTGTTTTGTTCTCCTACTGCGGCTTCTTGATGGGGGTAGCTACTGACATCTTGTAAGAGCCAGAGGTCCAGAGGTAAGGAGGGTAAAGAGCACCAAATACCCAAGATAGTGTGGAACTGAGATCCAAAGGCGAGCCAGAAGTCTCTCCTCCTTTCACCTGTCTTCCCTTCCATCTTTCTCAAGTCTGCATGCATGCAAGTATGACTCCGAGTAGTGACAGTATGATGAGGGAAACTGGAGAGGGAAAAGGGGAATATGTAGAAGAGAAGAGGCACAATAAATGAGTGGAAAGTAACAGTGAAAACATTTGGAAAAGCAAGAAATTCTGGAGGTGAGGTCTAAAAGACACACCAAAGAACATCGAAAGCACCCTGCCTTTGAATGATGATCACTCTTGACTCATTTCCATTGATCTACAGCTGCTACAGTCAAAGTGACTTTCTTTGTGTGGCTGTGATGAAATAAGAAAAAAAAAAGGCACAAAACTTAGCATTAGAATCAGAATTGGTTTCATGCCCTCTACCAACTCTGTATCTTTGCATTTCCATCACTTAAATGACTGGGTGCATAGTGACTCTGACTATAAAGTGATCACAAGCATTCCTATCTCCCTCAAAGGTTTGCTGTGAGGAGCATGTGAATTAATGGATCCAAAAGTTTCCTGAAAACTTTAAAATGTTACACAAATGTTATTATAATTACACAGGGAGCATTAGGTTTCCCAAACCCACTCAACCCTTTTTGGCCTCAGAGTGCACCTGCCTCTAGAAGATCTGTGTTACTTTAAAAGAAAGTTAATTAGGCCTTTCAACATCCCTCTGGATATCTGCCCAAGTTAGAAGTGCAGCTCAGCATAGAAGCTCCATCATCCATATTAAAAGTGGGATTTTCTGACTTGGCCCGGGCAGCCAGTTGACCAATAGGTTCCAATGTGTGTTTTCAATAAAGCTGCTTACCCAGGAAGCCTTATTAAGTGAGTAAGTCAAGCTGACATGATTTCCGTGCTGATTAACATGAAACCTAGGCTGTTTTCACAATGCAGTAACATTAATTATTTATAGGAGGTAAATGAGGTTACAAGGAAAACAAGCTCCAATTACCAGAAACAAGTCAAATCATATATTTATATTTTTAAAAGTTATGTACTAATCCCTGCATTCATTGATTTGAGGCTCAAGCTTTAAGGATGAAAAAAAATTTATTGTGTTCTCCTCTTTCTCATAACCAAAGGCAAGAGAGGGTTCAATGTTTTAAAGACTACCCGGTAAACTGATATGCCCCAATAGAGCTTATCAGTTACTTTTATTTAGTAAACTATGTACCTAAAAATTGCTCAACAAATTTCCAAAAAACTCAAACCATTCTAGATATAAAAACAAAATGTTTACCAAACCAGTCAGTTTTGCCTATTTTTTGACTAATAAAATTTTCACGGAAAACCTTATTAAATAGTATTTGTATCTATTTGGCAGGTGCAATAGACTATTTCTGTGCTTACCTGAAATAGTCCTCTTGTCTTTGCAGTCACTATATTCTTTTTAGTTTAGCATTTGTTCCACATTTTTCATTTTAACAAAGTATTTTTAATAATAGTTGCATTGAAATAGTCTTGGATGAGCTTGTTGGACCACTGGCTTATATTTCTGGCTGTTACCTTGGTCATGTCTGATGGTGTGAGATGCATGGGGAATGAAGAGTTCTCACTTTAAAATAGGTGAAAATTTGATAGATGATCAGTGGTAACCCCTCTTTCTTTTCATGATCCTTACAAGGCATCATTCCACTAATACCTCTACCACTACTAACATTAGACAGTACTTATTTAAAAGCAAAATTCTCAACAAATACATGAAAACATTTCAACACCACTGGTCATTTGAGAGATGCAGATGAAAGCAACTCTGAGATTCCACCTCACCCCAGAAAGAATGGCTGTTATCAAGAAATCAACCAATAACAAATACTGGCAGGTCTGTGGGGAGAAAGGGACCCTTCTCCATTGTTGGTGGGAGTGCAGACTGGTGCAACTACTATGGAAATCAATATGGAGATACCTCAAAGAGCTGGGACTAGAGGTTCCATTTGACCCAGCCATCCCTCCGCTGGTATCTTTCCAAAAGAATTAAAAGGATCATATCACAGAGATATATGTGCACCCATGTTTATAGCTGCACAGTTTGTAATAGCTAAAACTTGGAAACAGGCCAGTTGCTCATCAACTGGAGACTGGATAAAGAAGATGTGGTTTGTCTATAGAATGGAATATTACTCAGCCATAAAGAATGAGAAACTAGAGTCACTCATAGGAAAATGGATGCATATTGAGTCCATACTCTTAATTGAAATAAATAAGACACATATGCATAAATGCAGAATAGTTTCTTTGGTATGAAAAACTAAAAGTGTAAATAAGATCAAAATTGTATAACTGACAATGTGAAATAGGAAGAAAGGGCTAAACATATATGGGAAGTGGGAAGGGTAGGGGAAAGGAAACAAGGGAAAAGAAAAAATATGAGAAAAGGAAAAAATGGAAACAAAGTCTTTGTAAATAGTTTAGGGTGGAGGGATTGAAGGGAGGGCAGGGGTATGGGGAAAAAACAAGAATGAAGACCTGTCATGTAAAGGTACAAGATCCCAATGATGAATGTAACTATACTGTATGCCTAAAAAGTACCAATAAACTCAATGAAAAAAACCAAAAAACAAAATGCTCTTCCAATAGTGATGAGATAATTATCTGATGGTCATATGGCATACTAGCCAGTTGTACCATGGCTATTTCCTAGGAGATGCTTGAAGCCTTCAGTTGGCAGTGCCAGTGGGAAATATAGAATATCACAAGTTAGATGTATGTGGAATGCCTTTGAATAGAAGCCAAACAATACTTTGTGGAAAACAAAAGTAGTCTGAAAAATCTTGCTACAGTTCATTTATTTTATGGTATAATTGTGTAACAATTTACTTATTTAACTGTTTAATATGTATTTTGTTTTATAATACTTTAAATACATCTATTTATAATTATAATTATTTCAGTAACATCTTTCACTTTCTGAAATTTCTCTATGTTGGTGATTTATTAAGTTATCCCATCTTATCTATTTTCTTTATTTCATGTATCTGGGAAGTAAGAATGTATGTTTGGAATTTTATACTTCTGTGTTTGTGTAGAGTACCCATGAAATAAAGAACCGGAGACTAAAAAGAGTTAGACACCAGCACTACAATGATTTTCTTGTAATATGTCAAAACTAGTTGAGTGTATTGGGCATTCTTTTCACCTTGGGGTAAGAATCATTTAAAATGGAAGCCATAGACAACTATGAATAAATACCAATGTGAAACCTTTACTCTATATCCAATGTATAAAACGAAGATTCAGTGTCAAATCAAGGCAGGTATTCACAAGAATTAATGTTTTGTTTTGCTTTTCCAGAATCTGGAAATGGCAAAAACTTATGTGAAATCCAAGGAGATAGTGGAGCTGGTCAACACACAGTCTTTCACTGACAAAGGTCTGGGCCCTCAAAATGAGATGAAGGGAGAGGAGAGAAGGCCTGGTGCCTATGGGTTGCTTGGAAGCTTGACTGAAGAGCATGAAAGTATTGAAGAGGAAGAGGAGGAGGAAGAAGATGGGGAAAAACCGAAGAGAAGAGGTCCCAAGAAAAAGAAGATGACCAAAGCACGCCTTGAGAGATTCAGGGCTCGAAGAGTCAAGGCCAACGCTAGAGAACGAACCCGGATGCATGGCCTGAACGATGCCCTGGACAACCTCAGGAGAGTCATGCCATGTTACTCTAAAACCCAGAAGCTTTCCAAGATAGAGACTCTCAGACTGGCTAGGAACTACATTTGGGCTTTGTCTGAAGTGCTGGAGACTGGACAGACACCTGAAGGGAAAGGTTTTGTGGAGATGCTCTGTAAAGGGCTCTCTCAGCCCACTAGCAACCTGGTGGCTGGATGCCTCCAGTTGGGCCCACAGTCTATCCTCTTGGAGAAGCACGAGGAGAAATCTCAGATTTGTGACTCTGCCATCTCTGTCCACAACGTCAATTATCAGTCTCCAGGGCTTCCTAGCCCTCCTTATGGACATATGGAAACACATCTTCTTCATCTCAAGCCTCAAGTATTCAAGACTTTGGGAGAGTCATCATTTGGGAGCCACCCCCCTGACTGCAGTACACCCCCTTATGAGGACCCACTCACTCCACCCCTGAGCATCAGTGGGAACTTCTCCCTGAAACAAGATGGCTCTCCTGACCTGGAAAAATCCTACAGTTTCATGTCACATTACCCCTCTGCAAGTCTAAGCTCAGGGCATGTGCATCCAACCCCCTTTCAGGCTGGTACTCCCCGCTATGATATTCCCATAGACATGTCCTATGACTCCTATCCTCACCATGGCATTGGGACCCAACTCAATACAATCTTCACTGATTAAGGTAGTAACATCTGCATTTCAGAGAACAACATGGAGACATTTCCCATAATTCAAGCGATTGAGCTGAAGGTTCGAAGACTTTAAACAGACACTGTGGCTATATAGCAAATAATAATCTGAGTCCATTTAGGGCCTGTGGTACCTATACTCTTTTGTCATCGATTTCTTACACTGTATTGATTCAAGTGAAATTATTTGATGACTTACAACTGTGTGGTAACAGAAGCTCTAGGCCCTATTACAGTGGTGCCATTAAATAAGCTCTGCCAATGAATTTTCCATTTACTGGTGATAGAAGCACTTGTTCTAAGTTTAGATAATTGTTACAGACCTGCTTGGCTCTGGAATTATACAACTTTGGTGAAAACTCATAACTTTCTTCAAACTGACAAAATAGAGCAATACTAGGAAATGAAGAGTATGCATGGAATGATCAAATGGAGTTACTGCAGGGGCAAGTCTGTTGGCGGAGAGAATGCAAAGTTCATTTGAACTTGGTGACAAGACTTTGTATCTATCTGAAAATAGCTTTTAGAAGTTAAAATTCTAACTTGGCTGTCACTGTGAATAGATTAGCTCTATTTCTCATTGGACTAGAAATTGAAAATATCTTTCTTACCAATTTGAAAACCATAAGAGAACATCATATTCTTATAATATTTCAAAAGCACTTTTCTTAGTAATAAAGTCAGAGCAACGAAATCATTGAAATCTCAGACTTCTCTGACCAATGGAACATGGAGAAGTCATTTCGATCATTTTACAGCCTCCATAACCAGAAGGCGCTGGAAATTCTGACAATGCTCAGGTGCTGCCGTTGGAATGAGTGCACAACCCAGGTTTACATTATTGAGCAATAAAAATGGCAGTTGGCTGCACTACCAGTTCAGGGACGCTTTCTAGCTCATACTTTTAGAAAAGCACTAGCAAGGTGCATTTCATTTGGCTAAAGTGAAGATTATTAAAACCACTGACCTCTGTCCATATCATATCATATTTTTTAAAAGCACAGCACCAGTCAGTTTATCGATCAAGCTTGAATTTTTCGAACACATATGCAATTGCTTATCTCTCTCACCATTAGTTGTTAGCCCTTCCCACTTTTAAGATACAACATAGTTACACTTTGTAGATAACATTCCAAGCAATGAAACTTGGGGATTCAGAAAGAAGGTCCCAGGTCAGTGAATGTTTTTACCAATTTTTATCTTCCTTATAAATTTAGCCCAATCTGCTGAAAGTGCATTGTCCTTTACTTAACTTCTCTTTCCTTTATATTAACACTAACTTTGTTGAGTTTATCTTTCACCCAGGAAATAAAATCTGAGAAAGTTTAGTCCTGCTCAATCTGCCAGAACAATTAGCTTAAGTTCAAACCAAGAACGTCATAAATGACTATTTAATATAGATCCTGCCAGAGAGAGTACACTTAGTAATGCAGGTACACTCATAAGACCAACGAATAAAACTGATAAGACAGATCAGTATAGCATTTCTACAGCTTAGTTACCGCCTAAAATCTGCCAAACTGTATGTGTGTCTTATTTTTAAGTCCCCTTATTTATTTCCTCGTAATATAAACTGTTTTGTCTCCATTTCTTGCAGCACTTACTATGCTGTATTTTGCACCCTTGGTTTGTCAACCCATTTGAAAGAAGCTTTGTAGAGAGCTTTTAAACTCCATCAGCCACCAGAGTGACTCCCTTCATCATGACATCCTCTCATTCCTAGTAGGAATAGTCAAGTAAGATGATTTATAAAGCCATCCTACTTACTTTCTCACCATATGCTGGTACTCACCTTTGTGGGGGGATTTGGGAGAATTTATCCTTAAAGCTAGTATTTTCTGGCATTTGTAGATGATACATGTTGTCTGAGTTATTTATTAGATATTATTTATTTAATTTATTTCTCCTTTCCTTTTATGCAAATTCTTTGGGTTGCATGGACATGCTCATAACTCCACTCTCCCCCAAAGCTTCATTTGGAAAGAAGCTCATAATTTTAGTATATGTGCTGCTGAAGCAAGCACAAGAAGCTCATAATTTTGCTAGGAAGTACTGAGTTTTAGAGTGAGAGGAATATAAGGAATTTGGTTTATAATTGCTTGTAATTATTTGAATGGCTATTTAACTAACGCTTTTAGATTTTTTCCCCTTCACTTTAAAATGAGCCAGAGTTTTTTTTTTTTTGAACATGTTGTTTATGTCTTTGAAGAGTACACTATCCATGAACCAGACCTCCCTGGAATTGTGCAGAGGGATTTTTAAATTAAATTAAAGTTTAGTAATGCAGTATGCTCGGAAAGGTTCTACTCTTCAGATTAGAGCAGTTTCATCCTTCTGTGGACATTTTCAGATAAAATGAAGCAGCTGTGAAAATCTTTTGTTTAAAAACACAACTATTTTTCCTCCCTTTTTTTTCCTAGCAGAAATAAAGCTGTGGGTCTCACTAGACGTTGTGTTGTGTCCTTGGTCTTCCACGCTTGTCTTTGCCCTCCTCTAGCAATTTTCTTAGGCTCCAAGATCTGCAAGCAGCAGAACATAGGGCAGCCTTTCCAGAGGGTTTACATGTCTTGTGTCTCAGTGGGTCTTGCCAAGGTCGTTGAAAAGTCTGAGTAGCTAGGAGTCTGGTAGCACCAGCCTTTGTCTCTCATACAATAAACCACAGAATCTGCAGCTGAGAACAACAACAAAAATGAATGAATGAATAAATAAATAAACAAAGCTTATAGTAGCAATCTTTAGGGCCATCGGTAGTCCAAGTTATCACATCATAGAGAAACAGATGATGGTAAGAAGGCCTGATATTTACAAATTACGTGTGCCTACCAACTTTTCAACAAACTACGAAGGATGTTTTTTGTTAACTGCTTTTCAGCATCTCTTCTCTTAAATTTTTTGTAGGTTTTTTTTTTTCTGGTTAAAACACTCCAGACTCCATTATTATATGTATAAAATACTAATTTTAAAGAAACAATGATGACAATGGTAATGAATATAAACAAACAAAGTTGGTTAATCATGGGAAGGACTTGGCTTAAAATTTTCTTTCTCTTTAAAAAATTTTAATTGAATTTATTGGAATTGAGTTAAAATTAAATTGAATTGAAATCATTGAAATCTCAGACTTCTCTGACCAATGGAACATGGAGAAGTCATTTCGATCATTTTACGGCCTCCATAACCAGAAGGCGCTGGAAATTCTGACAATGCTCAGGTGCTGCCGTTGGAATGAGTGCACAACCCAGGTTTACATTATTGAGCAATAAAAATGGCAGTTGGCTGCACTACCAGTTCAGGGACGCTTTCTAGCTCATACTTTTAGAAAAGCACTAGCAAGGTGCATTTCATTTGGCTAAAGTGAAGATTATTAAAACCACTGACCTCTGTCCATATCATATCATATTTTTTAAAAGCACAGCACCAGTCAGTTTATCGATCAAGCTTGAATTTTTCGAACACATATGCAATTGCTTATCTCTCTCACCATTAGTTGTTAGCCCTTCCCACTTTTAAGATACAACATGTAGTTACACTTTGTAGATAACATTCCAAGCAATGAAACTTGGGGATTCAGAAAGAAGGTCCCAGGTCAGTGAATGTTTTTACCAATTTTTATCTTCCTTATAAATTTAGCCCAATCTGCTGAAAGTGCATTGTCCTTTACTTAACTTCTCTTTCCTTTATATTAACACTAACTTTGTTGAGTTTATCTTTCACCCAGGAAATAAAATCTGAGAAAGTTTAGTCCTGCTCAATCTGCCAGAACAATTAGCTTAAGTTCAAACCAAGAACGTCATAAATGACTATTTAATATAGATCCTGCCAGAGAGAGTACACTTAGTAATGCAGGTACACTCATAAGACCAACGAATAAAACTGATAAGACAGATCAGTATAGCATTTCTACAGCTTAGTTACCGCCTAAAATCTGCCAAACTGTATGTGTGTCTTATTTTTAAGTCCCCTTATTTATTTCCTCGTAATATAAACTGTTTTGTCTCCATTTCTTGCAGCACTTACTATGCTGTATTTTGCACCCTTGGTTTGTCAACCCATTTGAAAGAAGCTTTGTAGAGAGCTTTTAAACTCCATCAGCCACCAGAGTGACTCCCTTCATCATGACATCCTCTCATTCCTAGTAGGAATAGTCAAGTAAGATGATTTATAAAGCCATCCTACACATTAAAACAATCTTTAATTCTGGAGATGAAAATGGTCCCTGAACATATTTAAATTGCTTCTTGCTCTTATAGTCTTATCTTATTCTTTTTTTCATTATTTAGAGAATACTTTATTAGTTTCTGTCATCAAACCCAAGTAGATATGACCTTACATATTTAGTGCAATGCGTTACCCCTGCACACATGGAAAAAAATTAAAAAAATTAACATTTCTAGACCAATATGGCTGTCCATTTCTGTACAAAGCCAACTCAACACAGTAAATTGGGATAACTTTTTCCAAAGTTGACAGCACCATTAAAGTTTCCCAAAATTCAATTTATATATATATATATAACACATTCAGCACATTCCATTAAAAAAACAAAACAAGACAAAACAAAAAACAAAGAAAAGAATAATATCCAGAAAACAGCAAAGTTTTGTTGCTGTTGTGGTACCTGGCACATTTTTTATTAGTTTCTTAATCATCATCTGGAAAGAGAACATTCTAGAGTAATATTAAATATAGCTCTGATAAAGTATGCTCACTAAAATGTATCATAAAGCAGGTACAAGATATTTTGCATTCATAGAGGTATGATACAGTACCATCCTACATCAATAATACTAGAATCAGTTTTGGTTTGAAATTTGCTTTGTCTGCAAATAAGAATGCTAACCCTGTTTTTTTCTGGGCTCCTGTCACATGGAGAATTGTTTTCTATCCTATTCACTTTCAGTCTATGGGCTTCTTTTTGCACTAGGTGTGTTTCTTGTATACAACATATTGTTGGATTTTGCTTCTTTTTCCATTTTGCCAGTCTATTTCTCT